CTTTCTGCCTCACAGGTTGCTTTTATGGCCAACTTTATCTTGAGCATGAAGGTTCTCTTTGTGCCGGACTGGTCCGAGGTCAGTGTTGGATGGATCAACTTTCTTCTCTATCTTGCCGTCACCCTGGTGGTTACGGTCGCGAATCTCGTTGCCTGCCGGAAAGATGCTATCCTACCGGCATTCAACAACTTTGTCGGAATTTGCTTTATCGGACTCTTCTTCATCTTCAGCCTGGCCCTTCTCATCTCGGTTGGAGTCAGACCAAACTTGCAGTTCCAGCCAGCCTCATTCGTCTTTGGACAATGGATCAACCAGACTGGCTGGGGAGACGGGGTGACCTGGTTTACAGGCCTTCTTCAAGCTGCATATGGGTTGACGGCTTTTGACTCCGCTGTCCATTTGGCTGAAGAAATCCCGGCACCTCGCAAAAATATCCCGCGCGTTATCTGGCTTTCAGTCACACTGGGAGCTCTTACTGGGTTTATCTTCATGGTGGTGTGTTTGTTCTGTATCCAGAATCTTGACACCATCCTAAACCCTCCTACTGGTCTGCCTTTCATGGATCTAGTTCATGAGGCTGTCGGACTGCAGGGCGCAACTGTCCTGCTCTCCCTATTCATCTTCAATGGTCTTGGTCAAGCTATCAGTATTGTTACCACCGCCTCTCGTCTTACCTGGGGATTTGCGCGAGATGGCGGGATGCCCTGGAGCAGCTACTTCTCCAGGGTGAATGAGGCTTGGCGTGTGCCGGCTCGCGCATTATGGCTTCAGGGAGCCATTGTTGGCGTTGTTGGCGTGCTCTACATGTTTGCTAACACGGTGCTCGAGGCGATTCTCAGTGTCAGCACAATCGCCCTTACGATATCTTATGGGATGCCTATCCTGACTCTCCTACTCGTCGGGCGAGACAAGCTTCCGCCTGGAGAGTTCAGATTGGGACGCCTCGGCCCGGCAATCAACTGGATCTCCGTCATCTACTGCGCTATTACTACGGTGTTTTTCTTCTTTCCATCGGCACCCAATCCAGCACCAGCTGATATGAATTACGCAATCGCAGTCTTTGGAGTCATGATGGTGGTGACTCTGGGTTTCTGGTTCATCAAGGGGCAGTACACGTATCTCAAGACGGATGATGCGGCAGAGCGAATTATTGAGGCTCAGAATGCCGAGGTGACTATTGCTCCGGTTCCTCGTAAGAATTAGGCGCCATCCTCGAGCAGACAAATGCAACGTACACGCTATTATCTTTTACTCTTCAAGTCTTCCTACGCATAGCATTCAGTTCAATATCGTATGTTTCCGTAAACAAGACTTTGAGCCGGGACATGGTTCAGCCTTAATCAACCTTAGTTTTACATAGTACACTCGTTGATCTTGGTATCTTAAGGTGATCTTGAACTTCATGCCTGAATCCTTCAGGCTCAAGAATAGGGTCACTACTGCGTAGACGCAATCAACATAATCAACTAGCGCACGTGACGTGTGTGTGCCACATTCATTACCAGTGGAACCCGTTCCCAAGACAAAGTGGGTTGATGGAGATTTGAGCCCGCCGGCCTTGGCATGCCCGCCCGCCCACCGTTCCGTTGAGCGCGTCTCACCCCGAGATGAGTGCCGATTCAGCCGCCGCCGCCCCCTCGGTCCAGGGGCTGGGGATCCCTGGGGGGCTGCATGGTCGATTTTCCTTCCTAATTCAGTAAGTAACTTGCCCATGGCATCCCTTGGTCTTGACTAGACACCTCATGCACACCTGTCGTTATTCACACTTACTTTCACCTTGACACACTCAGATCTCAGAACCAATCTGAATCGCTCTTCTGTTGCTTCAAACCGCGCTTTTGATTGCAATCCCCTCTGCCTCGAGATCGAATCTGATTACTCAATTACGAAATCGCCCGGCAGCAATGCCGGTCCACTTGTCGCACCCCGGCCCGGTCTCTGCTCTCCCCAAAATCTCCGCCTTCCGCTGTTCCGCTACAGAATGGGGCTAAGCAGCGCCGAAATCGCCAAGCGCGAGTCGCTCGACAGGGACTCCCGGCGACAGGGTCTATGAAGACGCCAGAGTTGCTTGCACTGTGGTCTTGACATGATGGTGCACATTGCAATTTATCTTACGTTTGTCATTAGGAGAGCTCCGCAAGAAGCTGCAGTTGGCCCTCGTACGATTGTCACGTCCACAGACGCCCCAGCATCACTTTTCCAACTAAGGTATAAGAGGTAGACTTGTCCGCATTACGGTTTTGGCTTCTATCTGTTACCAGTCACATCTCTCTACCAGGAACCAAACCGAAGACTACTTCGCATCGTTTTCACACCAGCCCTCCATCCTGTTTGCCAGGTCTCTCACTTCATCACTTATCAACAATCGACCTTGGTCGAATCACAAATACCACCGTATGGAATATTTGCACAGCCCAGACAGCCCTCATCATGATTGCAGACACCTCTTCTATAGCCGGCTACACAATCTTCCGGGAAGAGCCCAGCGATACCGTTCCAAATCTGTCTACTCAGCATCGAGTACATCCTCTGGGTATGAACATCAACTCCCTCGTTTCTGCATCATCACGATATTTGAGCTACTTACTGACTCCTTCTTGAAGATCAGCTATCGATTGAAGAGATTCAGCTTGCTGCGAAACTCATCAAGAACTATGCTAGTCCCAAGGAGCTCAAATTCAACTGCCTGACTTTGCGCGAGCCCAAGAAGAACGAATACGCTGCCTTCAAGTCTGGTCTCGGCCCTCGCCCTGAACGCCGCGCCTTCGCCATTGTCATCACCAAGGGAACTTCCCAGGTGACTGAGGTTGTTGTCAACTTGGAAAGCACTCAGGTGGAACTGTGGAAGGATGTCGCGGATGTTGCCCCGACTCTCACCTTGGAGGATCTAGACATCTGCGAGACCGTCACTCGAGCTGACCCTCGCGTCATTCAAGCTTGCCGCGAAATCGGCATCTATGACATGTCAAAAGTCTTTATCGACGCGTGGGCCATTGGGTTCGATCATCGATGGGGTATCGATCGCCGCCTTCAGCAGGGCATTGTCTACTATCGCAATTCTCCCGACGACAACCAATACGCCCACCCGTTGGACTTCTCGGTCGTCGTCGACACTGAAAAGGCCGAAGTTCTCTCCGTCGACATCCGACTGGTCAACGGCGAGCGCACCAAGGTGTCTCTCCAGGAGCACAACTACTTGCCCGAGTTCATCAGCAATGGCTACCAGGACAGGCTCAAGCCCATCGACATTAGCCAGCCGCAGGGCGTTTCTTTCCGCATGGACGAGAACGAGATCTCATGGGCGGGATTGAAGATGCATATTGGCTTCAACTACCGTGAGGGCATTGTTCTGTCCGACGTCAGGATTGACGATGAGGGCCGTGAGCGAAGCCTCTTCAACCGCATCAGCGTGGTCGAGATGGTGGTACCCTATGGCAATCCGGACCCTCCGCACCAACGTAAGCACGCTTTCGACGTGGGCGAGTATGGCACTGGCTTCATGACCAATTCCCTCAAGCTCGGATGCGACTGCAAGGGAGCGATTCACTACATGGATGCCATCATGGCTGTTGGGAGCGGTGAAGCGGCTATCGTCAAGAATGCCATTTGCATTCACGAGGAAGACAATGGCCTGCTTTACAAACATACCGATTACCGCGACGGTACCGTCATCTCAGCCCGCGACCGCAAACTCATCATCTCGCAGATCATCACAGCTGCGAACTATGAGTACTGCTTCTACCACACATTCCTCCTGGATGGTACCTACAAGCTGGAAGTCAAGTTGACAGGTATGCTCAATACCTACTGTATGCACCCCAGTGAAACGGCGGCCCCATACGGTACAGAAGTCGCCCCGTTCATCAACGCCCACAACCACCAGCACATTTTCTCTCTGCGTGTGGACCCAGAAGTCGATGGGCCCAACAATTCAGTCCTGCAGAATGATGCGGCGCTTTCCGATGATCCTCTCGGGTCCCCTGGCAATCTCTATGGTAACGGCTTCTACTGTAAGAAGACACCCATCCGAAATGCAGGTGGCGCCGACTATTGCCATGAGACAGGCCGCTCTTGGGACATCATCAACCCCAACAGCATCAATCCCGTGGCTAAGAAGCCTGTCGCCTACAAGATTCTCAACAACAACTGCCCTACCATACTCGCTAAGCCTGGAAGCATGGTAGAGAAGAGAGCTGCCTTCACCCGCAAGGCGCTCTGGGTCACCCCGTATAAGGACTATGAACTGTTTCCAGCGGGTGATTATGTATGCCAATCGAGCGGCGATGAGGGCCACCCGCATAACTCAACCATTGTGGACTGGGTCAGCAAGAAGGAGCCGGTTGAGAATACCGACATCGTCTGTTACATCCAGTTCGGCCTGACTCACTTCCCGCGCACCGAGGATTTCCCGGTCATGCCGGCTGAGCCTGTTGGGGTCATGATCAGAGCCTCCAACTTCTTCAAGAAAAACCCAGCTCTGTGGGTGCCGCCTTCCATTGTTGCCGTGGACAAGACATCCAAGAACGCATTTCCCAAATCGGAGCCCGCCGAGTCGTGCTGTGGCACCAGAGACAGCAAATTGTGACGCCCCCAGCCTTTGACGACAGGCTCTGGAACGATAGCTGCGGGGGCAGGTATTGGTAGCAGCATTCAATCCTCCTAGTAGTACCTTATATGTAGTACAGTACAGTCATTCCCGCAAAATAATAAAACCGAACGCTGATCTTCATCACTATCAAGTCTTGTATTCCCTCCGGCCAGGAATTCGCATGTGAAGACCCCGTATTATGTTTACTACAGTTGAGAAAATGGCTCACCTCGAGATGAACTTGTGTATTCAGGACTTCATTGCCACGAATTTGGATCAATTACAAACACCTAAATGAAGTAGGATTGTTTATGGGCCACATGTTCGTTTTGACCGCTTTATGGCGTTGCAGATGTGCATAACACTTCCTTCACCGCTCACAGCCCAACCGCACGCTACCTCAGTTAACAAGTCATAGCACTAGGACGTGTGGGCTGAGATGGCTGAAGATTTCGAGCCAGGTCTTCTCTCCAGATCTGGACGGCCAAATGGTCTTGAAGAAAGATTTGACCGCGTCGATCGAAGCGAATCGCATATCATCGTATATCACGTCAGCCATGTCAAGAACGGCCTTTTGCTCTTCTGCCGATGAAACGTGGGCTCCGGCGATGAACAGCGGGAAGACGATGCAGTTAAGATTGTTTGCCTCCCGAGGAATCTCAAATATGCAAGCGAGGCAGGATCTGACATGCTGCTGCACAAGCGGGTGACGGGTCGGAAATCCACAAATGGCTCTATACAGGTACAGCAAGGCGGTGTGTTGGAAGATGCGGACGAGAGTGAATGCATGTACAGCCTCGGCTTCTGTTGCAGACGTGGAGCAGTCGGATACCTCGGAGGGGCTCTGGCCGTCAGCATCGGCGACAGTCAGTGGCGCATAGACTGGACGAAGGGACGCTTCGAATTCGCGGATGCGCTCGATAGACAGATCCTCAGCCATGCTTGTCGTCGCTTGTAGGTACAGGCCCATCTTGGCAATTTCGCGAAAGACGGACGCCAGGGAGCATCTACCCAACGGGTCACGACCCCACCAAACAGGGCCCTTATCGAGCCGGTGCCACACGTCAGGAGGGAATGCCGGAGGCTTACCCTGAATCATGGATGTTGTGAGATCCGTCGTCGCGAACTCTGAGAGCAGCATGTGCAGCGGCTCGGGGGCTGTCGACACTACGGCCTCGATGCCACCTAAATGCTCGAGGATAGCTAGGATGCCATTGTAATGACTAGAGGTCGAGGCTGACTTGAGGATGCAACCCATGTATCCGTCATCAAAGTACAAGAGGATGACGGCAAATAAGAGCCCGGTCGTGGGTCCATCCCTCTTGGGCTCAACGCAGCAGCGATCTATTTCGGTTCGAACGGCAGCCAGACATTCCAGCCGCTTCTTGCTGAGAGAATCGTGGTCATGCGTACCGTCTTGTAGGAGCCTGTGAGAGTCAGACAGCAAACAAGCAGCGAGCAAAACGACGCGGTGCTCCAGAGCCACCGAACTCGGAGGAGCACACGGTTCCTCTGCCGTGGAGAGAAGTGGCCAGACGCGAAGATGGAAATAGTCAAGAGCGCGCCGCTCGCACACCTCAAGGTAAACGGTCAAGTGCAAGTCGTTTCGTGGGATGCAGTAGGCTGGAGGAACATGAGGAGTTGGCCGTGTGCTCCATCTAATGAGTCGGCTATTGTAGTCGCACTTGGTGCCGGAGGCAGCGCATTGGCGGCAAGTCGGCTTAGAGAGACTGCATTTGATGCGTCGCTTCTTGCAGGACCAACAAGAGCCCTTGACAACTCTGACTCGGTTGGGAGGCATGTTCTCCGGGAGTTTCGAGGGTTGTGGATGCGAGGCTCAAATAGATTCAAGCGATGGACTTGTAAATTGGAATTTTCTCGGTGGGCGTTGACGAAGTAGGAGTCTCTGCAGCATGCCCAGTTTAGCGGCATTCAATCTAGGACTATAGAGAGACACGGAACTTGGAAGGCGACTCACATCCGGCATACTTGAGCTCCTGAGCACTCTTTGCCAATATAGGCAACAATATGTGTTGCCACCAAATTGATTCCGACTTGAACGATCCATGCGGCAGGTAAGGCGGGTTTTTGACGAAAAAGGTGAGGTAGAGAAGGAGGATGTCAAGAGTTGAGAAGCAAGCAGACGCCTGTGATGGGAAGGCCAACACAAGGAGAAAGTAAGACACGGGTTTGATGGGGCCTTACTGTTGACGGCAGCAAAGTGTATGAGTGACGGCGAAGGTGTCTTCCGACGTAAGTATATCCCGTGAATGAATCGAAAGAAAGGTTGCAGTTGGTTCAGCGGACGGGGGCGGGGAGAACTTTGTAGGAATCCAGACTTGTCCGGCCATGGGTTCGGGCAGGGAGCCAAGGAGGAGGGATCTTCCCAGCGAGTGTGTGCCGGGCCCGTGTGACTTGGATGCGTGGCTGCTTGGTTACGCCCATTGGGGGATGCGGTGGGTGGAGATGCGGGGCAGGCAGCCCGACACGCCGGCATTAACATTGGATGTATCAAGGATTACGTACTCTGGACTGCATCCTCCGTATCGGAGAGAGAGAGATAAGCATCACAATGATGATGTAAGCAAAGCATCCGTGCCCTGCCCGGAGATGGATTATGATCTCTTATCTAAGGTTTTGTTAGGTTGCTGAGCGCTCGATAACGCCCTGTTTAAACTTGTCCGAACGCGACCTGGTTATTTTCTGCTGTAATGCCATCGATTGCTCTTGGCATCATCGAGCTGCCGATATATAGATCACCCGCGAACGGTAAATACAACATAACGGCTCAATTGGTGTAGGTTGAAGCCTACGTGCAAAGGAGAATGTAATGAGATTTTGAGTATCGATACAATTCCTCATCCCGCGTGAAATAGGTTCCGTGTAAACACAAGCAAGGCCAGTTCTATGTTGTACTTGTAGGCTTCGGCCTTTCCGTTAACGTCTTCGCGGCTGAATGTCCCTCCTTCTGACCCCCTTTCTGGTCCTTGGCCGTCCCTCCACTGGTTTGCTTGCCTTTGGCTGTCTTTTCATCTCCGGCCGCTTCTTCATGCCAGCCCGGCACAAGCTCATTATCGGCCTCCCCTTCATTATCATCCCACCCTCTCAGAACTCTTCTTGCTGCTTCTCTACCGACAACGGGGAGTCTCTCAACGCCAATATTGCGCCCTGCTTCTGGCACAAGATTCGGGTCTAACAAGCCAACTTGCACCAACACGCTCGCTTGATCCCAATACACATGCTCGTGGTAGAGTTTGCCTCCTCTCAGCCCAACGATGCTAACAACAAGCACCTCGACCCGTTTACTTGTTGCTGGGACGCCTGGCAGAATCCATGGCATCTCTTCCGTGTGTTTGAAACGGACGTGAACCTCATCAACGACACGATCAGTCCCGATAGTGCGGGAAATAAGCGTAAGTTTCATTGACGGGGGGTTGTTGAAGAATTGCTTGTAAAAGGCTTCCAGCTCTTGCGCTCCGACTCCGCCGGTCAATGTCGGAATGTGAGTGACGTGAGGGGTCTTGTGTGTTGTATACGATGAAAGGGTTTGGTTTAGGTTGCGAGTGAAGAACTTGCCTGCAAATAGGTCAGCTTCGAGTCTTGGGCCATGATCCGCTTTGCCGAGATCATTGGGGACATCGCAAGCTCATCTGTCCACGCAGTTGAGAGCAATTGGCCCAGAAAGTAAGGGAAATGCTTACCCTGCACATTTTGCTCCAACACGAGCTCCAAGTCGGCATGATTATTGAACGCCTTCTTCGCCGCACCAAGGCTTCGGCTCCATGCCAATTCAGCCGAAATTGGATGGTACTCGTCCAAATCGTGCTCTGCAAAACCAGGCTCCGCATCGTAGGTGTAACTCGGATACGCTAGCTGCAGCATTCCTCCGATTCCCATGCCGTTTTCCACCCTTTTTCGGGTCGTGCGTCGCTTCCCTTGAATCCCCACCATCTGGCTCTGTTTTGTGACACCAATCTCCTCCCCCGCGGCGAGATGAACAAGAGCGGAAATGCTGCTAGGAAAGTGGCCCTTGGGATCGGGGATCGCCGTTGGGTAGTATGCAATGAGAAGACCCAGCTTGAACTCTGGATTGTTATCCATGACATGATAGTGTTCAAGACAGGCAGCTGCGGCATCTCCGTATGCTTTCGGATGGTTGGGTGAGCTTCCGTATCCTCTCATTGATTTTGTGATGGGACTTTACTAACCCACGATTCCAAATGTCTCACAAGGGCCCATATTGGTTTTGCTCAACGATCGGAGTTTGTCCCGGTACTCTCTCGCGTTACCCCCCATTGGGAGGTACTCTACGTCGAAGTCCTCATCGCGCCACTCGTCTAGTGTGAGTTGGTCAAACTCTTCACTTTCCGCACTGATGTACAGCTTTGGTCGACCTCTGGGGAAGTCCTTGGACAGGAAGTTAGGATCTCTATGGACGGGGCGATTCCAATTGTCCGAGACGACGCGCGCATTTCGTCCTTCGGAGTCCGGCACAGCGGCCTTGACCAGCTTTGGGATGTCGATATTCATGATTTATTGATCTCGCAGTCTCGGTACAAGATATGAAGATAGCGACTGGTCTGCAAAATATGAAGAAGAGTAGAAACGGCTCGCTCAAGTTTATAATACACAGTACATCACTTGAGAACTTGAAATTGCCTGGTTGTGACGTCATGCCTTTCCCCAAAGCTGTCGTCCACAGACCCGTTCGTCTGTGGAGTGAAGTCGCAACCAATCACATCACGCAAGACGTGAACAGACGATGTCTTGTTTATGAGCGTCACGGTTTCGTGTTTCCTTCCATTCGCATTTACCTTGAGGTGCTCCTATTCGCACAAAGATGACAGGTGCGCGTTCCTATGTGCTCATCTCAGATCCGGGATAATCTATGTTGGTGGAGAGTAAAGACTCAATCTTGGCATGCGCTAACATGTCACGGGATATGACGTGCGCTGCGCCAAATTTTAGACAGGTTGAACCACGACACGCTGGTGAAGAGGAGTCAATGTCGTGAGGACACAACTCTCCATATCATAATCCCACCTCAAATCTTCATCTCTCGGGCATCAATCAGTGAACTCAACTGCATGCTCACAAAAGCGTTGTATTATGCTCGAAGCAAAATCTTACTCACACTGTCCTACTCGCTGCCCAAGAGATGTTTGCTTCAACTTGGCAGCACAGCCTACGAGAGAAGACAGCCTGTGTGGCCAGGGTCTTCAAGATTAATTGGCATCTGGGCTTGACGGCGTTTGGAGGACCCCCAGTGCATTTCAAAATCGTAAACAGGATCACACTGTCTCCATGCCATCGATGCCAGCTGCTTACAAGGGGGCTGGTTTAGTTCCATGACCGATTCGTAAGACGACTGCAATGGATTGATGATCAAATGGTGCGGCTCCTACCTTAATTCGCGAACCATCGCTTTCATTTGCTAATACTATATGAACCTTAGTATCAGGAGCTGTTCAGCATCTCACAAGCTCTTTCGGGTCCGGCCAGCACCAAGATGCTTTATTGCATCAATCTCATCCAAAACGGCCTCCTCGGCGCCATACTGGCCTTCATGATTTGGAGGTACGTGCTCATATGATCCCTGAACAATCTTCGACATCGTAAACCCGCTACTCGACTAACAAGCAGATTTCAGCTTACCGGGAGCCTTGGGAATGTACGGCCTCTCTTTGGGCGTTTCTAACATAGGCTCAAGTCTCCCACGCGCAGTCTATGCTCTCCTTTCCGGCCTCAATGCTGCCACTGTCGGCATCATCGCCCATGCAGCCATGGAGCTCTCGGACAAGAGCATCAATGATAAGCTTACAAGGACACTCGTATTTCTCTCTGCCGCAGCGGGCATAATGTACAACGCGATATGGTTCTTCCCAGTGCTCATGTGTGCTGCAGGCTGCGCGGCTATCGTGCATGATTACCGCTGGATTCAGAAGCCAGCCATGCGGGCCAGAGGGATGATACAAGCGTTACTCGGCAAGAGACAAGAAGGGTCCTTTGTCCCAGCCCGCATGGGTGGAGATGTTGGCGGTGAGATTCAACTCCCTTCGAGTAGGCGAACGTCCACGCCGCGAGACGCAAACGCTGGCCACACAGGAATCTCACCTGCCATTCTCCGGCCTTCACCATCCGAGCATCAGGCCGCAAGTACCTCGCGCGCCGAACAGGGTCCGATTGCGCCGCCTATGGAAGCCGATGCACGCCGCTCTCTAGCTGGGTCCGAGCCGCGGATCATTCCAAGGGAATTCCAACTGCAATTTTCCTGGAAAGCCGGCACTGTCATCATAGCAACCTTCTTCGCCACTTTCGTCGCTGTCATGGTCATTCGAGGAATCATCCCAGAACCCCCAGTTCTCTATAAGCTTTTTTCCAATCTATACCTTGCCGGTACCATCATCTTCGGAGGCGGCCCTGTAGTCATTCCGTTACTTCGGGAGTACATTGTGGCCGAGGGCTGGGTATCTCCGAGGGATTTTCTTATCGGTCTTGCTATTGCGCAGTCCTTCCCTGGCCCCAACTTCAACTTTGCTGTTTTTCTCGGCGGCCTGACTGCGGTCAGCGCGGGTCATTCTGCTATCATAGGCGCCGCCATCGCCTTTGCTGGCATCTTCACCCCAGGGCTGGTTCTCGTTCACGGCACAATGGGTGTTTGGGGGGCGTTGCGGAGCAGGCCCTGGGTGAAGGCCATGGTGCGGGGTGTAAACGCCTCTGCTGTCGGGCTGATCTACACTGCAGTCTATCGGATTTGGCAAGTTGGGTTCCTTGACGAGGGCTTTCAGTCAGGGAGAAGCTTAGGTGACGACCCTTGGTGGGTCGTTGTCACCGCTACTGCGTATGTCGGGGGACGGTATTATAAGTTGGCAGCGCCGTTGGCGGTCTTACTCGGGGCGACGATGGGTTTGGTTAGGTATGGCGTTGTGTCTACGTAGATGTTAGCATCAGATCAAGAGGATGAGCTCGAAAAGGGCTTTGGGCTCGCCGCCTGACAGAGGAACTTAGCCCATTCACCACGCCTGTCTTACAGATAAAAGGCGGAGAGAACGCACATAAGCGTCGAATTCTTAATAGCTTCCTTGTTGACTTGAAGTCAAGGCCCGCTGAAATTCTAACTTTGAGCGATGATTTGTAATAATTGCGTAAACAAGCTTGGGATTTGTCTGAAAAGGTTGAATGAGGCCCAAGGTTCCTATCTGTTGCACGACGTATCAAAAGTGTGTTGGTCAGCCCAAGTGGCTTCAGTGTACTGAGTGGACGAGCATGGAAGAAATGCAGATATATTATGAGACCTCTTTGCTCAGTTTATATCAGCGATCTCTCATCGCCGCCCAGGAGATCATCCTACCCCCTTCATCGTTGGCCAATCCCCTACATTCTATCAATTCTTCATCTCACGACATAATGGTCTTGAATGTTCCTGTATTGATCAAAATTCACCGTCCGAGTGACAACACAGTTCCTAGTATCTTTGGCATCTTTATGTACGCTCAATCCATGGCGAACAATTGGGCAGAACTCACAAACGCGTTAAACCGCTCACTGCCCGGAGTAATTGGTAATCTTAATGCTGCTGCCATTGGTGATTGACCTTTTGGAGCACGATGGACTTCCAAGCTGACAGAATACGCCGTTCAATATTCTAGGGATGATGGACATCCGCTCGAGTGCTCATTGTGCATCCCGACTAATGCTCGATCAACTCAGCCGGCACAGCAACCACGGAGGGGAGGGAGAAAGCGAACAACAACATGTGACATGTTTGCATTCCAAATCAATGACTAGGTCATGTGGCGAAATTTGAGGATGATGCGGATGATAGTTCTTCTACCTTATCAACACATTCGGCCAGTTATCGTTGACGTTTCATAGGAAATCATAAAAAAGCTAAGAGCTGGACACCAACATAGTGGAGCAGTCACACGAGGAATCACATTTGCGTGATGAATTCATCTAAACGATGCTCCAGAACGAATGAGACGACATTTGTCTTGCACTATGCGAGGTGCTCGGAATCAGCTTGCGGAAGGGTTGAGACGGCAGTATTCAAACCTGTCTACAGACTTTCTTCGTACCCAACTATTTGCGGCAGCTTATTTCGCTTCAAATTCACAACTTGTCGAGGATTGCAGGCTCTGTACACAACGGTCAACTCGAGGTTGACTTTTTGACTCATAAAGCGTCCCGGCTTCACCCACGTACCTACTGAAAACTCTTGCTTTCTTTTGCACATGGGGAGCTGAACCCGGAACTCAACGAAAGCCGCACTATCACCGGCCATCTACAAGACGTCTTACTAAGCAGTCCCATGGTTTACCGCAGTACACGAGCCGACTTGTGACGTCAAGCGACTGACTCAACTCCTTTGGACACCTCCCCATCGAAGACTCCTTCTTTCAGCAAAGCCACCCCAACATCGATAACCTGAGAGCAAGCTCTCTGCAAACATGTCACGATCCCGTAGCGGGTGCCTGACTTGCAAACGGCGCCATTGCAAGTGCGACGAGACCAAACCCGAGTGTCTGCAATGTCTCGGTCAGGGTATCAAATGTGCAGGCTACAATGTCGTATTGCGTTGGGATGCCGGCATCGCTTCACGGCGCCGGTATACAGGAGCGCTGAAACCGTCAGAGACGCTCCATATCGAGCCTACAGAGACGACAAGGCCGAGGAGGCGCACGTCCAGAAAGCCATCTAGTGGAATAGTTTCGTCATTCGAATTGGCAATCCCACCAGAACGAAATTTCATAGGAAACACAAATGTCCCCTCAAAGCCGTTTCCAGTGGTTCGCTCTCCAGGTCCTGAGATGCCCAGTACATTGAACGAGGCCTTCCAGACGTCCCTGCAATCCCCCATGTCCTCACTAGAGGGATTTTCATGGGCGGGCTGGACAGAGCAGGATCGAGATCTTTACGAAAGATGTACGTCTTCGATCCAAATAATTGTCAACTCAAGGCCGCGGACGAATATTTTCCATGGGCTGAAAGAATTCTGGGCTAACAAAACTTGTCAGTTGATCAAAGCACCATCTTTCTTCTATATTCAACTCATCGAGAAGACTGGTTCCGAACAAGCCTTCGCCGCCTTGCGAGTGATTCGGAAGCCCTTTGCTCTATTCTCATAGCCACCCATCTCTATGTGTCAAGCCCAGACAATCCTTCATCACTGTTCGAGGAGTACTACGTTCGCGGGCTACATTTATTCCGTAAACAGCTTGAGAATCACGACGGCAGCATCAACGTTGGAGTGATGTACGCCGGGCTGTTCATTTGCACGCTTAATGTGAGCACCCCTGAAGGACCTGTATTTGATTGTCGTTCATATTCTAACAATTCCCTTCAACCAACACAGCTTTTCCAAGGCACACCGTGGTCGGTTCATTTGGAACTAATGATGACCGTCTATGGCCTAGGAGGGAGTTTGCACGCGTCTGCAGTCCTAGACAATCCTGAGACCCACTTTCCCCTTGAACTCATGGCAGTGATGGACATACCGACGTTCGTACGTGGCCGTTCCACCACGACACTATGCCTGTGGCAGAGATTGAGACAGGGCAAGAGATCCAACAATACGGAGCAGGATTATGGGATTGAAGGAGTTACTAGTTTGCCTAGGTCACTTCTCGATATCTTCTCGTCTATTCAGACTGAAGCTTCAGAAAGTGCCTTCATTTCATGGCCAGGAGAGGTTGGAGAAATACCTCAAATCCATTTATGGGAAGCTTATCGCTTTGCGGGGATCCTCACTGGTCGGCGACTGAGGAAAGACCCATGTCTTTCATCGCTAGCTCTATCCACGGAGGTCATCGTCGGTCGCCTTGTGGCAGCCATTGATGCCCTCTGCGACACGCGGAACCGACCCGAGTATAGCCACTTGCTCACATCTAACTCGCTCCTTTATCCATATGTCGCGGCACGGCTAGAAGTTGCCATCTTGCGACATCGGCCCTCCTGGATGGAGTCGCTGCGCCGAGCTTGCGGTATTTGTCAACCCTACGGCAAAACCGCGAACGCAGATAACATTGCACGCATGCTGGATGAGGCTTGGGAGGTGGGCGACGATGATTACGACATTGATGAGCAAGCCAAACGGAGAAATGTGGAGATTGCACTTTTTTGAGCGACCGTCTCCTATGCTCAAGGCACGGATTAGTAGATGGGATTTGAAGGTTCGACTACTCCATAGTTACACTGGCACGATCCGGTAATTATCGAAATTCTGTTTAGCTCGCTCCCCAGGGTAAAATGACAAGGGTTCGCCGGGTACGTTAAACCGCTTTGGGTATGTCTAAGAGCCAATGATGTGTCTGCTCTTTATCGCCCTTCTCGGAAGCGGGTCGTCGCTAGCTAATACCCCAGATTCGAGTTGGAGTGGAGTTAGTGCTTATCATTCAGCAGCCAAAAGTGGACGTCCAGTTAAAGCTCTAACGAGGAAAATGGATACTTGGGCTCCGAGTTCTGAGATATTCAAAAGAGTGCATTGCCGTGGACTGTGATTGTCGAACATGGCACATGTTGAGAAGGTTTCATTCTACGGCCCTCTCGTGCATAACCTCGACACAGAATCTCAAGCGGTTAGAAACTCGTCAACAAGCAGCACCATGGATGGGCCCCAAGGAGACACGTACCTTCCTCCTGGCAGTGCCAGACTTTTGTCAGGTCAGTTTTTGACCTTCCGCTGTCTCAACTTGCTGTACTGACATCGTTTGTCATAGAAGAAGAATCCACTCTAGTCCTAATTCCCACCCCAACCTCAGACCCTAATGACCCCTTGGTAAGTCGTTTGCGGCTGTCCTCTGTTAGTTTACGACTTTGTCAACTGACAAACTGACTATGTTCAAGAATTGGAACCTAACCCGAAAATGCGTCAACACTATGTTCGTGCTTGCTGTCACTGTGGCAGTCTTCGCTGCGTGAGACCCCTCTCCCCCATCTATGCCCCAAGAAATGGGGCATTTCAATCGATTGAGCGACTATTCCAATGACACTCGGCCTTTAGAATGACTATGCAGATGATATTCTGGCAGCAAATGACGGTCGAGCTGGATATGACCTACGACGAACTCAACGCAGGTGTTTCTTTCAATGTCGTCGGACTCGCCCTCGGATGCCTTTGCATCATTCCCTTCACAAAGAAGTACGGTCGACGATCCACATATATCTTATCGACCGCTATAATGGCTGCAACATCCTGGTGGAGCAGCCGATTGCGTACGGTTCCCGAGATGTATATCACGAACCTACTCTATGGCTTGGCTGGATCAACAAACGAGACCATAGCCGAGATGACGGTATGACTGACATATGCCCTCACTGACCACCAATGGTTATTGAAGTTCACTAACGCGCTATTTTTCTTGCCAGATTGCAGATCTCTTTTTCGTTCATCAGCGAGGCCTAGCAAACGGCTTTTACATCACCGCCGTCATGATCGGGAATTTTCTCGCCCCCACACTCGCCGGTCTCCAAGCAGCTTCGATGGGTTGGCGATGGGCCTACTACACTGTCGGGATCTTCCTGACGCTTTTGTGTCTCTTGTTTTTGTTTTTCTTCGAAGAGACGAAGTATGTGCCCATCTCTGTTGGATCCTCAACCACTGAAACTCCCGATTTGGAGGAAATAGCGAATAAACTACACGAAACGAAGTGTGGCTCAGCCGCAGCAAACTCTGCCAGCGATATTAAACCTTTCGAGACACATCCCATTCAAGACATCGAACGAGCCGAGCAGTCGACCTCGCTGCCCAATACGTACTGTCAACGTATGCGTTTGTCCACAACAACGGACGAACCACTGGTCTCCAGCTACATTGCGCCTTTCAAGATGGCCCTCTTTCCGCACGTACTCTTCTCAGCAATCCAATGTGCCAATGCGGTGGCATTTCTGGTCGCGCTGACAAGCTTAAACTCCATCGTTTTCGCTGCTCCACCATACAACTTCAACACAGCTGGAGTAGGTCTCATGCTCATCGGCCCATTCGTTGGCAACATGATCGGCAGTCTGTACGGCGGGATATTTGGTGACTACGTTGTTGTCAGGCTCGCGCGTAAGAATCGGGGTATCTTTGAGCCTGAAATGAGACTCTACGTACTCTTGCTACCTGCGTTGGTCATGGGCGCTGGAATGATAATATTTGGTGTTACGGCAGATTTGGTCAGTATGAATCGTATTGCGTGATCAAATAAGGATTGTGAATAAAGTGGCTAATCATAGAGTCTCTCAGGGGATGCACTGGATATATCCGAGTATCGGTGGTGCTTGTTTTGCTTTCGGCATGAGCTCCATGATGGACGTTAGTTTCACGATCATCATTGACACCTATAAAGCCGTGAGTCACTCTAAGTAAAGAAGGATGCCATGGAGCAGGGTTGAATTTATAGAGTAACTGACTGGCATAGGCTACCGCGGACTCCTTTGTGTTTATTACGTTCATCCGCAACGCGGGGACTATTGGAATACCCTTTGCCATAGTACCATGGCTTAGCTCAATGAGTCTCACTAGTATTTGTATCATTTGTGGCTGCATATCTAGTTCTGTTTGCTTGCTCTTCATCCCATTGCTCATCTGGGGACGACGCATTCGGATTGCATCGCACGTAAGATACCAAAAGATTGTGGCTGAAGGCGGGGGTATTCAGGGCTCTGGAAGAGCTTAGGAAAGAGAGTCAATGCCCCTTGTAGACTTGCATTACGCACTATGTTGGAGTTGAGAAGCCCATCTTTAAATACAATAAGTTCTGTAATCCTATTCCAAAGCTCTTTTCACCCTGATTCCGTAGCCTTGCCGACCGCGACTGAATGCGTCTTGCGAGACTGCTAAAGACGACAAAACCTCAAGGCAGAAGACCCGCTAAAAAATCGCTCAAATGACGAAGAGATCGCGAGAAACAGGCGGACGGGGAATTCAGATTGCGAGATGAGCCGTTGGACAGAACCGACGCAGCCGGGTAACGTTTTACGCCCACTTCAGATCAGTGACACATCCAAATTGACAAGCGAAATTTCAATAGGGCGATGGTAGCTACATCTCAGCCTCGAGATATCATTGACTACCGAATCAGGGTCACAAAAAATAACAGTATGGCACGAAGCGAGGAATCTAGCCGCTCAGTAAGTAAGAGAAGTACTTGAGCTGAGACGATAAGAAGGCCGTGTGTGATTGGCTCCTAAACTTGCCTAAAACAGTTTTGTGGCCCACAGTTTTAGTTCAGCGATGAGCAGGGATTCAACTAAGTACCTAGCACATTCGAGTTTCCAACTATGTGTCGCCACCTCGTGTAACCAAGTCACCTTGCTACGAGATCCCGAAGTCGGCGAGTCGGGAATAGAGAATAGAGAAGTTCATTTCAGATTTCGGTTATTGCCTCAGATGGGACAGGGTTTGTACCAGCCCCAACCAGGGCTAATAAATTCCTCACCTTCCCATCACCTCAATGGTCCGTAGAAACACTCACAAACTCCAGATCACGAGACTCGGGCGAAGCTGAAGTGGTAAGACCTTCCGAAGCTAAGCATCCTACTCAGTTACTGACAATGTTGTTTCTCAGTGCACGAGGTACCTCAATATGCGGACTCTCATCCAGAACGCCCGCATGATCACCACAGACGCTAAGGAAGCACGAGAACTGTGCTGTTTGGCAGTCAATGACCACACTATCCAACACATTGGCCACCTTGACGACGCTTCCATCCAGAACTTCTTACGCCATGGAGAAGAAGTTCAGATAGTCGACCTTCAACGGCGCGGTATCATGTCTTCGTTCATCGATGGGCATACCCACCTACTCCAATTCGGGATTTCCCTGTCCAAAATTTCTCTTGGAAATTGTGCCAACCTGGAGGAGATTCGACAGGTCATTCAATCAACTGCACAAGAGGAACCAGATGCACAACGCTTGATGTTTCAGGCCTGGAAGCAATCGGCCACTGGAAGTCTCGTTAATAGCGAAATGCTGAACGATCTCAGCGAACGCCCGATTTATATTGAGTCGCATGACTTACATGCAGTATGGTGTAACGCGGCCGCTGTGAGAGAATTGGAGATCCCCGACGAGGACATACCTGGCGGTCGAGTTCATCGCACTGCTGATCACTTGCCAACCGGCTTGTTCGAAGATGCTGCTGTCCTTGGCATTATTTGGCCGTTTTTGACACAATGCTTGACGCACGAAGAGAAGTTGGACCGACTCCGAGAAGCCATAGAAACATACAATCGCGCTGGTTATACTTCGGCCATTGACATGGCGGTCGATGAAGATTACTGGAATTTACTACGAGAGCTTTATGAGAAGGGAGAGCTCAACCTACGCTTGGCCGTCCACTTTTTGGTCTCACCGACGGGCTCGACAGAGTCTGATGTAGAGCAAGTGAGACGTGTCAGTCAGCTTCACGAAGCGTACAACATCTTGACGTCTCCAGATTTTCGGGTTGCGGGTATCAAGCTCATGTGCGATGGCGTCATTGACTCATGCACAGCTGCCATTTCTGAACCGTACAAGTCGACTGGACAGTCCGTACAGCCCTACTGGACCGCAGAAGCTCTGAGCAAGGTCCTGACTGCGGCAGATGATGGCATGCTGCAAGTCGCAATGCATGCAATTGGAGATGAGGCGGTGACTCTGGCAATCAACGGCTTGGAGGCGCTGGGTACGACGGGGAAACGGCATCGCATCGAACACTTGGAAGTCACCAAGCCCGAAGATGCCAAGCGACTTGGGCGCTTGGGCATCACTGCCTCTATACAGCCCGTTCATTGCGATCCCGTCCAGAACATTGACTGGACACCGCTCATCGGACAAAAACTATGCAGCCGAGCCTTTGCATATCGAGAGTTCGCGGACCACGGGGCTAGGATCGCTATTGGTAGCGATGCGCCTACAGCTCCTCACTCGCCGTGGAATAATCTCTTCAACGCAACAACTCGCAAATCTTATAATAGGCCGTATGGAGAGGAAACGATGAATGTGGAATTCAAGCTCACGCTCGTCCAAGCATTGGCGGCTACCAATATCGGCGCCGCCTACTCTTGTTTTGCGGAGGATATGGTCGGAAGCCTTGAAGTGGGAAAACGAGCTGATTTCATCGTCCTTGATCCGATAGGTGACTGGAAGGGGGAACCATTGTCACTTTTATCATGTAATGTAACGAGCACTTGGCTGGGCGGGCGAAAGGCTTGGTCCAAAGACTAAGATAGGTAGGAGACAGGAAAGGATGAATTCCGCTGCAAGAGAGCCCATTTATCGCGTCGATGCCCCAGCTGGCAGATCTGTAATGGGCACTGTTACCTTCCTTAACAGATCAACATTTACTTGTGCGATGAACAATTGCAGATAGCCTAGTAGTATAGATGGAGTCAACTCTCGTTGCGTGCGATTGCTGTGATTACAGAATCGATGTGGTCATATATACCGCCAGACATGCAGGGATCATTCGTGTCGGTGACCTATGCTGACAACGTGCAGTGCGACCTTCTTGATTTGGAATGATGGATTCTTCATCAACACCCTTATGAAGAATCTAGCTGATATCTGTAGCCAATCGAGTGCCCCAAATGGCATTGCTGCCTAAAGTGGTGTCGTCAAATACTGACTTTTGAGATGCCGAATCTTATGGCCATAGAACTTAAGTATCAATGGACTTCCCAATGCTTTTGTAAATGGGTAAAAAATAGTCAAGCCCATTACCTGCAAAGATGGAGGTCGAAATTTTTGACGTGATCATCGTCGGCGGTGGCACAGCCGGATGCGTGCTTGCCTCCCGACTCTCCGTTCGGCAAGACTTAAAAGTCCTCCTACTGGAGGCTGGAAGCAACAACATCAACGAAGAAAAGGTCACGACACCCTTGCTGAGTCGACGAATGTTTGGAGATCCGAACTATGATTGGTGCTCAGAATCCTCACCGCAGATTGGCATGAACGGACGTGTCTTCCAGCATACAAGAGGCAAGATGCTTGGAGGAAGCAGTGGAATCAACTCCCATAGTCTAGTGTTCCCAAACAAAGCTATGCATGAGGCATGGGCCGAAATATCGGGAGATGAGCGATGGAGCTGGGAGGAGATCAAAGACTACTGCCGCGCATTTCATACAGAGCAGGTTCAAGACATGTCAAATCAGGACCGTCAAAGCCAAGGGCCTATACAAGCATCTTATCCGAAAGAGCTGAATGCCCTACAGAATGCCTGGGAAGAGGTATTCGACGACTTGGGCGCAAGATCTGATCATGATGGCCCATCTGGCGAAGCGCTTGGGGGTTTCACAACCACCAATGCAATCGATAGCCGCCCTGGCCAAGGCGTGAGAAGCTTCGCAGGGAACGCTTACCTCCAACCGACTTTGGACCGGAAGAATCTTGTCGTCATCTCCGGAGCAGAGGTCGAGAAGATCGTATTTGAAGGTGATTCTCACACCGATGAAGGAAAGTTATGTGCGATTGGCGTAATCTATGAGAAGGCGCACAAATCATCGCTAGTCAGAGCAGATAAGGAAGTCATCATCTGCGCAGGCACCCTAGGTAGCCCCAAGATTCTTGAGCAGTCCGGAATCGGTGATCAACAGATTCTGGAGCCTTTGGGTATTCAATGTTTAGTGAACTTGCCTGGTGTTGGAGGTAAGTGCATGCATACATTGACAAGGAGCATTCAATGTTCTGTTGTCTCTCATGCTGACTGCAGCATCTCAGAAAATCTTCAAGACCATCTCAACTTTGGACCAAGTGTCGAGGTGAAGCCCGAAATTGAAACCATCGACGTCAACTTCAGAGACCCCAAAGTTCCTGCAGCTCATCGCGCAGAGTATGACAAGAAAAGAACTGGGCCTCTGGCGGAAGGGGCAGCGTACAGTTTCGCTCATTGGCCTCTGCAGCTCTTCAACTCGCAAAACGAAGAGAAAGAGCTAAGGGAGCTTCTCCAACTTTCACCTCACGTCGGCAATGAAGCTACCAAGATACATCACGAATTCATCAATCGGATGATCCTCGACGACCATGAGGCGAGCGCAACCGTTTTCATGATACGGGTGCAAAGATACACCAGCCGCGCCAACCCAGCCCCAGGTAACTACATGACCATAGTAGCTATGCTGGCTCACCCCTATAGTCGAGGATCTTGTCACGTCGAGACTGCGGATTGGCATGATCAGCCGAAAATAGACTGCGCTTATCTCTCAAATCCCCTCGACATTGAAATCCTCGCGCGTCATGTTCAGCAAATTGATAAATTGTTGGCTAGGGACGCGCTCAGTGGCTTGTTGAGAACGGATGGCAACCGTCTCCCAACAGCATCGGCACCTCAGACTTTGGCAGAGATCAAGGAGAATATTCGAAGTTTTGGTGCTACAAATTACCACCTCTGTGGCACATGCGCAATGATGAAGGAAGACTTTGAAGGCGGTGTTGTAGATGGGGAGCTTCTCTTACGTGGCACAACGAACGTTCGTGTGTGCGATGCTAGTATTTTCCCGATCATACCGCGAGGGAACATACTAAGCACAGTCTATGCAGTGGCAGAGAAAGCGGCGGCATTCCTTTTAGAAACTTATAGCTCTAAAAGCTGATGGCTACATTCTATTAAATTAGTTATAGAGGGATTACTTAGTCTGAATGTAGAAGTCTTCGTGACTGTTACTGGCCCTAGATATTTTCAATCATTTGCCTCTTCTATTTTATTATTTATAATATGAGTTTATTGATAGGTTTTAAGTTCCTTTGGAACAATAACTTCTTGACAGATCAACTGCAATATGCTCTATTATTCACAGATAAATTAATATTATTTCATTATTATTTACTTTAGTTAGAAAGCTATTATAGATAAGAGGATTAAACAAAACTTGATTTACCTTTTTAGCGTCGTAATTTATTCAGTATCTAAGATTTTAGTTTAGAAAGAAGTATCATATGATATAATGAGTACTTGTCCGGGCGGGCGAAAGGTTTAGTCCAAGAACTAACATATAGAAAATTTGGCTTGCCATCCCGTAGCCCTTTTGTTTATTTCTCAAGTGGAACGAAAATATTTGATTTATAAAGCGGCTAACAAGTCAATCACCGACGCCTAAGACCGAGCGGGAATGAGACGCATCCAACATGGCTATTCTCGAGGCGTCATTTATCCGCCTCACTACCAGTGATTTTCTCAGGATAGTTGTAGAGCGAAACTTTCAAGCTAAGCGGTACTTGGGGATGTCATCTGACGTGTTTCTATGGGTAACGCCATACTAAAGATCGTCCATTCCCCTTTGGAGCCTTCAAGTGAATCTCCAACTTCTGACCTACTCTGTTGGACGAAGGAATAGGTAGTCATGGCTCATCTCTGCGACCGAGGTTTGGATATTGCCGATGACGTAGGATTGGTGCTCAGCGATCTAGACTAGCGATGCGTTTCATTAAGGACTTGAAGGTTCCAGAACCTATCGGACAATTTTGACAGTTAATAAGATTCATATTCTAGCCTCTCGAATAGCCAACGCAAATGACCCCGCCGCCCCTGGCCCTAAGACTACAGTCGCCACAGTGAGATAAATCAGTTCCTGAAACTCGTTCGCAGACACCGTCCCTTCCACTTTCATTTTTTCAACATTTTAAACCCCATCCTTTCGCGAGAGAAGTAGATGCGCAAACACAATAGTGGTGAGACATTGAACAATCCAATCCCCCTGCGAGAACAGGTGAAGATTCTCCAGGGGCAGTGTACTCGACAGATGTAACCTCCTTTTTGATCATGGACTCGTATGAGTCTTCAAAGCCTCGCGCCGGAAGGAACAGCCTCAGGATCGATGCGTCGATATCTCGTGTGAGTAGCGAGCCGACCGAGGTATAGAAGTGCACGGCTGAAGCGACGACACCGGCAAGTATGAGGGATGCGACTACCCACTTTCTTGCCTCTTTCACAGATGACTGCGTTGTGCCTGTAAGTTTGCGAGGGAAAATTGACACAAGGCTGAGGGGGAACGCCATGGCAAATACGGGGGCCACCTGGGAGGGTGCAATGCATCCATGGTGCAGGCTACTGCCCCCGTTTCCACTCCACGCGGGTGCAAACACGAGAAGGGGTTGAAGCAAGATGACTAGTGGCGTCAGCGGGAATGCCGCCGCTTCGTGCCAGGGCATCGAGGCATCGCGGACGCGGGCCTTGCTGCTGTAGACTGCGTATCAATACAGCGGTAGGATGATCGCGGCGCCGTTTGCGCTGCAGAGCACCAAGGCCCAAGCCGGATATTTCAAAGGCAGGGAGCGAACGCTTCGACGCCTCGATTCAATGAGAACCCAGAGATTCGCGCATGTAATGGCGTAACTGATGTCGAACAAAAGGAGGCGCGGGCCGGATGTGCGGGCATTTGTGAGCACATCGTAAAAGGCGGCAAGGGTGCTAGTAACTGTTTCAAGGCGTGCAAATATGACGTTGAATAATGCGAAGCCCCAGAGACCCCATACTCGACTATCAATAAACCAAAGGCTGCTAACAACTTGCCTACAAAGCAATGGTAACCCAGTACAATGCCATCGTCATGGCATGGTCTCCCGTACCTGGTGTGGGTTTCTACGACATGGAAGTTACCTCAAGCGACAAGTCCTCTTTCCTGCTCCTGTGCCAGCCGAAGTGGATATAGATCATTGTACACAACAAGTTGCCCGAGGAACAGCACTGCACCTGGCCCACACGTCGGCGATTCACCCAATCTGATACGAAGGCTCTGGTCAGCAAGATCTCTTGGTACTCTGTCACGGAGACCGTTGTCTTTGGAGAGCTGTGAAAGAGGCGCCTCAAGGCACAAGTGATTTCCCTCGAGGAAGGCGTACTGGAGAACTGTTTTTTTGGGAGAATTGTCTTGGCTCGAGATGCTGTCCATAAGGTAAGATTGCCATCTGATGTGCATGATTGTATGTCTTTCGTACTCGGGGCTGATACGTCATGTTGTCATGACAAAGGTTACTTCAAACTCGGCTCTCGGTGGCAATACAGCAATGGAAGACGCCGTTACACTCGCAAATACAATTAATGCCCTTCTCGGCACGCATTCCCATAAAAACCCGAGTGATTTTGAGCTGCGCGATGCGATGCGGGATAAGCATCAAAACGCTCGTGTCGACCGTGCCTGGGTCATTGTGAAGGTCGGGGGTGATCTCATGAGGCAACAGGCTTATGACGGTTGGAAGGCCTACTTTGTGCAGCGATGGCTGAAGCCCATCGTGGGCCTTGACACTATTGTAAAGAATATTGCTGGATTGTGTGTTATGGCGCCAAAGCTTGCTTATGTGGACTTTGATGAGAAGAGGGGGATTCTAGAGTGGCAGGACACACTATCTGCTGTAAAGGAGAGGGAAGCTCGGGAAGAAGATGAAAGACTCAATAGTGGACCTTCGTGGGGTGACTTGAACGGGGGCTTTGCGTCTGTCTTCCCGCAGGGGCTAGCAGTTTTAGTTGCTTTGTAGTTGGCTATTCGTGTCCTTCATATTGTCTTCTCCAGACAGTCGATACCTGGTTTTGGTAGGGAAATATGGCAAATCGTTGGAATGGAGAATGGTACTTCGCAGCTATTTGAATTATCAAAATTTGATGATAGCATGAGTTTGCAACCGTTACATCCATGTTACAACCGAAAGTGACATCACTTGCTTGTATTCCCAGATCCGGTAAATGATGCTGATTTTATGAGTTTACTCAATCTAGGAATCAGTTCTCAAGCAGTGTGTATAGAAGGCTTAGATACTTGGGTTATAGAGCTCACATGTAGGGAGCCCGTTATTGAATGTATGCACGGCGTTAATATAAATGATGATGGTTTACATGTTGCGTTTGCATGTATCTTCATTTTGCATCTTGCACAAAAAGAGATCTTTCTCCAAGAGCTTGGGACCGTGAGCCTTCTGTCAATAAGTGTACGACACAGGGAAGAAGCTCACAGAGGCCAACTGCTGTTAGGGTCTAGAAGATGAATTGCTGAAATCTGCCCTTTCCTCGGGGTGTACTCCCAGCGCTCTATATATGCCTGAGCTGCTCCTTTGTTGCTTGGTCACCCTCCTCATGCCCCCTGAAGCTAACCCTTAACCGGCGAGGCCTGACACCTTCTTACAATCTCAACGTGATGATCCTTGGACCTTCAAAACTTCATCGCCTCTCCTAGGAGGCCAGCATTGTGATATGACTCTCTCCAAGCGCACCGTGATTCTGGCTTCATCCTACGCCGCTACCAGCGCTTCTGACTTCTTGCCACCGCGGAGCTTAGCTTTCTGCCGAATGTGTTAATATATGTTGCGCGATTCCAACTGGGCCATCTCGACTTACGAGCAGCGGAACGGAGCACACCACACTCAGTTGGAGGGGTGAGGGTCGACACTTGGAAAGAGGAGGAAGTAGGCTGGAGCGAATGCAGCGCCGACAGGCAGGTTAACGTAAAATCTCTGAATGTTGGCCAGTAAGCATGATTTACCGTCCCAGCAGGTGATCAAGATAATTTTCTTTCTTACCCAACTCCAAGAGGCACTGCTCGCTGCAAAGGCACCGCCTACCTAGGAAAGACAACAGATGTCAGCATTTGCTTGTGAAGGCAGTAACGGGCTTCACATGCTTACCACAGGACCGAGAACGCTACTGACACCCCAACTGACGGTACTTCCAGCAAGGTATGCAGGCTTCTCCAGTTCGTTGGACAGGACCGAGACGTAGGTCAGAGTACCCGAGTACATACTTGAGCCACCGACATCGGCGATGACACGATCAATGATGAGGGCCTCGCTATTAGGGGCAGCGCCGCAGAGCGCGCTGCCTGCCTCAAACAGAAAGATATTGAAGATGTAGACCTACTTGATGTTGAAGACTCCGTAGACCTTGCCCCAGAGCAGGACGAACATGGTACCCAGGACGAAGCCAGTGCCGATCCATGATAGAGGCTAGAGGTGGCCAAAGTCGTTGATGATGGCTGGCTGGATGTTGGGGACGATTTTGTTGTCGAGAGCAAACAGGAGAGTCGTGGAGAGCATGCCGGCGTAGGCAACGGCCCCCTGGGTGAGTAAAACCCGGACATAGTAGCTTGAGTGCAAGCACAGGATCGGTATCCCAGTTGTGATTGTCGTGGGGGCTTGCTTACCTTCCATCCATGAAGGTTACGAGGACTGGTCTTGTCAATTGAGGTGCCTTCATTGTTGCCGCTGCCAGAGTGTTCGGGGTATCCGTCGGTAAGGTACTCAAATTTGTTGCGCCTGCATCCTTCTCGGCATTTGCCCCGTTTGGAGCCGATAACGCGAGCTCGTTGTTCATATTGGGGAATGTTCGGAGGCCTTGTAACCCTAAGTGTGAAATCTGCGTCGTATTTTTCGATGGGTGTAGAGAAGCGGGCTGGCTTGATTGAATGCAAAGCGCACGAGGCCCAGCAAAATGGAGGGTGTGAATTTGCGGAGTTCGAGAAGAAGGACCCGCCCAATTATACGACACTCCCCCGAGACCTGGTGAACAACACGGAGGACGGACGCGGGACGGAGACGGACGCTTAAGGAGACCCACTTGATGCACTGGCCATAGAAAGGACTCAAGACTCGGGTCCGTTTTGATTGTTGGCGAGTTTTCATTCCCTGACACATTATAGCTCTGCTGCGCTAGTCCGTCTTCGACTGAGGAAGGTATCCGATTGGCTAAGTGGGCTAATCACCGTTTGTTTGTACCTAACGGTGATCATCTTAGTTAAAATTAATTGAGAAAGTACGGCGTAGTGTACTTGACCTCTCATTGACCTTGCCTTAGGAAGTAGACTTGGCATATGATCGATTCCGAAAGTTACTGGGAGGCGTGCACTGATACAAAATCATTGGCTTGGCTACTTTAGAAATATGAATCAAATCCATAACGTGGAAAGCTCTAATTAAGTAGCTGTACTTGACTACGAGAGTATTTATGATCCAAATTGGCATATAGAAAGCCATTATTTTCAATTCTATGTGATATAAGGTATCTTACCTTAGACGTCAAGTCTTAAGCTAATGTCCTTATCAAGCCGCTGTAGAGTGCTCGTTCACCTTTATAGTGCCAGTCGGGAGCCCTTTTGCGACCCCTTTCGCGAATCCATTCGTCTCTTCTCGTTCCACTCTCTCCTACCGAATTTTTCGGTACTCATCTAGGATGGTAGAACAATCTCTTAGCTTATATTTAACAAACTACTCCTCAAAGACACTGCTTTTGCGAAAGGGATTAAGAACCAAGTCCTTCATCACTATGTCGATATACTAAACACTCGATATTAGCCTAAGGTATTTGACAAGCTCTAGAAGAAATTGATAGCATACCGGGATATAGTCGTATATAAAATAAGGGTGTTTCTTGCCCTACTTGAGGTATCTCTTCCTCGCCCACGCATTAAAAGTCGCAGCTACAAACTCCGTTTCATCCCTGGACGGGAGATCTCGATACCCGAACATCCAAGAAACTCCCCAAAACGCTTAGAGTTCGGCCGCCAGTGGTATAAACGCTGAATAAATATACTCAAGAAAGAGTATTAATCGTTCGTCCCGTGCCGCCAACGCAGGTACGACCAGACGGCGAAAACGTCTATTAGACCCTTATTCCGCCATTCCAGTAGCTTTGACGTCGTTATATTATTCCGGGGCAGTTTTAAGATACGGAAGAAGCTCGTCAACGGCCCTTTCAGCCTTTTCGTCTAGCACTATCCACCGTGAGAACACCTTAGCGTCGTACTATAAACCGAGCTCCGTAAGGAGCTCGTGATCAAAAGTATCGTATCCCTTGCTTATCAAATCCGGTGCAATGAATCACAATATCAGTTGCTACAGAGTATCCGTTCTTCAAGTTAACAACGTCTTAATACGATAGACACTCAATTTCCGTCGAATAAATCGTAACATCGCCTCGATGAAAGACTTTCCAAAAATCAGGGGCGGTAGCAATACCAATACCGCCGCTTCCCCAGCATACTCTAAATGACGGGTTCGTCAGCTAAGTCTCAGATTTTAATACTACAATACTCGTCCATCGCTATATAGTCTCGGCCGAAACTTCTCAGCATTCGGCATCTTCCAATATTCTGCATATAATACGGACAGGTAGTTAAAGATTCTCTAATAAATATTTATCAACACACGTCCGAGGGCATTTCGTTAGAAAGAGCTATAAGGCATTCTAGATATTAACATAATACATAGACTAAAGCTTAAGGCGAACCGAGTTAAGATATAGTCGGCAATATTCCATAGCCCCAAGAACGTCGGGGCATAAAGGCTGGACGGGCCGGATAGCCCATTACGCATAACCTAGTTAACCTTCTTAACCTCGCATAGCAAGTAGTAAACAGCGTCGTATAATGACTCAGAACGACCAACGATAGTAGCTCTCTACACACTGCTCGAAATATACTCTTAGTACGATCCAAGCTCAAGCAAGTGGATTACGGGCTTCTAGAAGTTGTCTCTGGGCCATTTAGGACTAATAGGACTAGAATTAGCTCCTATAATAAGTCAAACTACTTACTTTTAGCCCACCCCCCCTTTTAGCCCACCCCAATTTCCTTCCTAGTTACTAATTAAAAACCCTACTTACGATTTTTAATTTAATATAATAATTATAAAAATTATCTAAATAAATTTCTTTTTTATATACTTATTAATCTATAGTTAATAATACTATATATTAAAAATAAGGTTTAATAGGCTCTTAAAGTTATTAAAAACGGTCTCTCTTTTAGGAGAGCCTCGATTATATTCGAGGTTCTTAAGTTAATACTTCGGAATTATAAAAAAGGCTACTAAATAAGAATAAGGGTATTTATAAACTTTTAAAAGCTTTTTTTATAATAAAAAGACTAGCTAGCTTAGTAAGTTCGAATTTAGTATACCCTAAGTATTATACTAACTTATTAATAAGTTAAAAAATTCGCTAAGCGAGTTTTAATATTTTAAAAAAATACTAAACTATTTAAAAAAAAATAGATTAACGCTTTTATTAAAAAGAATTTATTAATAAGGGTTTAGAAAAGTTATTTAATAAATTCGCGCTATATTAATAAAGTTATTACTAATATAATTAAATTATAGTTTAAATTACTTAATATACTAAAAATTAGTAGTATTAAATAGGCTAATAAGTATAATATAAATAAGACTAATATAATAGAGGGTAAAAGAGCTAATAGGCTAGTTTTAAATATAGTAAAAGCTATAATAATATAAAAAAAAGAGCTTAGTTTATATACTTAAATAATAATTATTAAGTATATTTTTATTAATAATAAATTTATTAAATTACTAATTATTTATAAAAAAAAGTTAGTATAATAGTAGTAATTTCCTTTTTAACTTAACCCTTATAATAGTTAGAAGTTTATAATAATAGATAATAACTAAATAACTAACGAGACTACCCTTTATTAGTTAAAAAAAGTATTTTTATTATAAACTAAGATCCCCCTTATTAAGGGGATTAGTAAGCTAAACTAGCCTCGATTATTAATATTAAATAAGTATAAGAGTTATATAATAATAGAATTTATATAAGAGTATTATAAAAATAATATTTATTTATTATTCTTATTATTATATACCTCTTATATCCTCTAGCTATTAAATATAACTATTTTTAAGCTTATTAAATCTTATTATAAAAAGGAGCTTAGTAAAGAGGATATAATAAATAATTCTATTATTATTAAAAAATAGTACTTCTTAAGCTACTACTAGCTTACTTATTTAGCTAGTTTAACGTCGTTAAATATATAAAATAAATAAAAAATAACTAAACTATAGCTACTTAATATAACTAAGCTACTTCTTAACCTAATAATCCTACTTATATAAATTATACTATTTAAAAAGGGTATAAAAGCTAAGTAAATAACTAATAATACTAATAAACTACTTAACTAAGTATTAATAACCTCTATTATTAATTAGTTAATTCCTAAAAAAGCTAGCGAGCTTAGTAACTACTTAAAGCTATTTATAAAGCTTAGTCTAAATAATACTACTTAATAACTACTATTTAAAAAAATAAAAAAGGTATTTAATAAGTAAGCCTACTACTTAGCTATATCTTAATACTAAATTCGATTTCTAAAGGTAAGGGTTAAGTATATAAAGCTTAAAAAAAAAAAGAGTATTTTAATAAACCTAAATACTAAGTTTATAAGTATTTAAAATATATAAAAAGCTTAGGAGGACTTTAATAACTATTTAATTAGTCCTAATTAACTTATAGGGGTTAAATTACCTAACGATAATTTTAATTATATTATTATAATAGTAGAAAGTAGTTAATTAATTAACTATAGTTAATACCGATGTTTTAAGACTATATTATTAGGGTAGGCCAAAAGGGGGGGTAGGCTAAAAGTGGGTGGTTTAACTTATAAATAAGCTTATCGCATATCAGGCATTTTCCACCTTTAATATCGAGGATCCATCCTTCCGAGGCGGCTGGCCGCCTTGCGACCCTAGTCACGCGAGTCCGGAGGCAGAGCCTAGGCAGTAGGTTATGATCTCTAGCGAAACTGTCAAAGTAATTGTATATCGTCTTTCCGGAGACGAAGCCATCAGGCGAGATATCATCTTTGGACATCGGGCAGAAGGAGTATTCGAACAATGGGTGGCTGATCTGAGCAAACAGGCTGGAATAAATTCGCTCCTTAGACCAGACCCCACTTATTGTGCTGCTGTCATCGACAATGGTGAGATTTGTCTCAGAAGCCAGCTCCAAGTATGTACGAGCCGCCATTAAACTATACTAACGTGTGTAAACTATCAGCAAGCTAACGGTAGAGAATAAATATCGGAAACCGTCCACTCACCAGCACCGACGACGATAACATCAAAGACCTCTACGCCTTACCCATTTGTTAGCATGTTGAGAAAGC